AGTAGTATTGTATGAGACTAAAATCAAATTATATAAAATATAATTTTAAATATTAATTAAATTTAAATTAATAAATGTTGTTGATTATAAGTCAAATATAAACACTAAATAATCAAATATGTATGTATACATGTATGTGTATGTATGTGCACCGCCATGTTTTATATTTATACAAAAAAAAAATATTAATAAAAAACAAATATATTGTGATTTCATAATGTTATAATAGAAAAATATTTGTATTAAAATTGTGTGTGTGTGTGTAATAAATTGTAGTCAATTTAAAAATATGTATAATAATTTCCCTAAATATTTTGTAGATTGATATAAATATAACTAGCCATAGAAGCATTCTCAAGTATAAACAAAATTTACTATATACAATTAACTTCTAAATATTTCTCATAATTTCGTCAGATATTTATCGTATTTATATCTCTTAATAGCAAATCGTGTTGCAGTAATTACCTTAAGCATAGAAATTTCGTGAACGATTTCAAATTATAATTCACATACTTTGAACATTGTTATTGTTTATTTACAAGATCAATGTGTAATACAGATAGACGAATAAATTCATCATACATAAAACGTTATTCAGTAAATTTATAGAAAAATACAATAAAGTTATCTATGAGGTAATAAACGAAAAAATTATGGAATTGGAAATTCATCCAAATAATTCAACACAATTCTGCTTACCATCTTTTTATTTATGCGCTAACAAATCGGAATGACGGAATGGGGCCACAATTTGGATGTTTTCTTTGAAGCTATAAGAGAAGCTTACAAAAAGAAATCTATCGGAATTAGTACGAGAAAATTACTACAACTGTCTATCACAAGTATCAAGTATCACTTTTTAGATTCTTCGATAACATGTTCATCGGATTGGCGTTATTATGTGTTAAAATGGAAGAAATCTCTCTATCTGCCCTCTGAAGAATGTTCTCGAACTAAACAAAATGGCGAAAAGATAATGGCCACCATAGACATAGTATATCTAGACCATAGACATAGTATATCTAGACCTTAGAACATATATAAATGGAAGGGGAATAGCAGGCTGAAAAGTGTCGAAGGAAGTGAGAAAGAAATCGTAGTTGCCTCTCTCTTGTGAGTTACTTTGCTCAAAAGTGCGCATGCGCGGCCATGTGTGTGTACACAAAAGTTTCTATCGGGAAACAAAGGCATTCCCCTTCCATTTATATATGTTCTAAGATCTAGACCGAGTGTTGAAGAGTGGGAGCCGAGGTACACGTAGAAAAGGACGTACTCTGTTTCGTGCCCCTTGCGTTCTCTTTCGCTCGCACGTAGCATAGCGTACTCTTTCGCTTTGCTACATGCGAGTGAGAGAGAACGCAAGGGGCACGAAACAGAGTACGTCCTTTTCTACGTGCATCTTTACCCCCACTCCTAAAATAAAGGCAAACGCTCGGTCTAGATATACTATATCTATGATCTAAAATCTAGACGGTGCGTTTGCCTTTATTTAAGGAGTGGGGGTAAAGATGCACGTAGAAAAGAACATACTCTGTTTCGTGCCCCTTGCGTTCTCTCTCGCTCGCACGTAGCATAGCGTACTCTTTCGCTTTGCTACATGCGAGTGAGAGAGAACGCAAGGAGCACGAAACAGAGTATATCCTTTTCTACGTGCACCTTGGCCCTCACTCCTCAACACTCGGTCTAGGGCCGGTATTCATAAAGCCCGAATCACACTAGCGGCTTGCGGCTGCGATTGCGTTTGCCTCAGCCAATCAAAAAGCACCAATTGCAAGTATGATTGGAGCTTAGCAAATCACATTCACAAACGCAATCGCAATCGCAGCCGCGAGCCGCTAGTGTGATTAGGGCTTTATGCGCTTATGCAAAAGTCTGTGCTCGGGCCCTTAGCTCGTGTGCACACGGGACACAGGTAAGGGCCACCGCACAAGCTTTTCCATAACATGTTACGTTACGTTAAGTACTGACTGTAAACCTAAATACATACGCAATCTTAAACTTCAGTCAACGCACAGAGAAAATCATAACGTAACAAAAGCATACTACGTTACGATTTTGTTTGCGCGTTGACTGAAGTTTAAGATTACTTAAGCCCGTATCAGACTACGCATTGAAAATTGAAGATTGAAGATTAAAGATTGAAATTTGACTAATCAGAACAAAAGGGACTAAAATTTCTTTGTCCTGATTGGTCAAATTTCAATCTTGAATCTTGAATCTCAATATTCAATGCGTAGTCTGATACGGGCATTAGGGCCACTGCACAAGCTCTTCCGTAAAGCCTATCACACACAAATTGGCATAGCTGTATATGCATAACATAAGACCGTCTGGACCAATGAGCATGCTATGCAAATCAATATGTGTTACTCTGCTCAAAAGTGCGCATGCTCGGCCATGTGTGTGTATACAAAAGTATGTATACTACACGACACGATGCTTGTATGTGTAGTTACTCACAAGAGAGAGGCAACTACGATTTCTTTCTCACTTCCTTCCGACACTTTTCAGCCTGCTATTCCTTTTCCATTTATATATGTTCTAAGGTTAGTACTTAACGTAACGTAACGCGTTACGGAAGAGCTTGTGCGGTGGCCCTTACGAGTTTAGGTTTAGAATCAGTACTTAACGTAACGTAGGCTGCGGTCGGGAAGACGCTAGAAATGCTTCGAAGCGTTTGATTGATCAATCAGGACAAAAAGAGTAAAGATTTCTTTATTCTGATTGGTTAATGCAACGCTTCGAAGCATCTCTAGCGTCTTCTTGACCGCAGCCGTAATGCATTACGGAAAAGCTTGTGCGGTGGCCCTAATATTTCCGAAGCCCAAATCTGTGGTCTATGCTTAGAACCATAGACATAGTATATCTAGACCGAGTGTTGAGAAGTGGGGGCCAAGGTGCACGTAGAAAAGGACATACTCTGTTTCGTGCCCCTTGCGTTCTCTCTCACTCGCATGTAGCATAGCGAAATTATAGTATACGTGACATATACTATAATATCGGGTGCACTCGGGTGGGGAATCGGAACACAGCCTAAGGTGTGTTCCGATATACATTGCCAGTACTGGCAGTGCTGAAAAATTGTTCCACTATTAGCATGCAGTGTGCTGCGACAGCATCTAGTTCCATCAATGACGTCATAAATGGTAGCCATATTGCTACTGCGGTTGCTGCAGCTCCCGAGGTGAAGCAGTTACAGTGCAACATGGCGTCGTGCAATAAAATAGAATTGCACTATAATTACTGCAAAGTCGTTCCGAAATATAAAATCATAATGCTACTGACAGTGCCAAAGTAATTTCGGAACGTTGCGGCAGTGAACTGTTATGACGTCATGGATGGTTGTAACGCCGGCAAAAAGGGAACACACCCATAATTATCTTCATCAATTGAACAAATAATTAAAAAAATAAAACGAATCGAATAATAAAAGTAAATTTCTTAATTATTTGTTATTTTTCTTTATTTGATTATTCACCCATGTCTTAATTGCTGCAGGATTTCTGTTAAAAATACCGGGATTCGAATCCTTTAATTTTTGAATTTCTTTCAGAGAAGGTAAAATTTTTGAAATAATATGCTGTTTGAATGTTGTGTATGCAATATTTTTTTCTTCTGCAGTCCAACGTTGTCGAACACATTTTCCAAATGGAGATGCTAATAATAAAAACAATATTTATAACCAATTCGCCATATTTTACATAGCATGCTCATTGGTCCAGATGGTCTTAGGGTGCAAACCCATGGCAGCGGAAAAGCGTAACGCGGAACAAGAGCAGCGCAATCGTGAGTGTTCTGCAG